TACCCGAGAGACATCTTAGCAGTAAATGGCATGTCATGACAAGCCAAAGCAAATAAAATTTAGCGAGCAATCCTTTATTTAATATCCATGAGCAAATTACCTACAGAGATGACCTGTCAGTGCATGGACAGTGGAGAAATGAATGCAGGGTTGCCAAATGGAGGGAAATGAATAGTCCCGAGCAACTTGGACCTGAATGGTGCAGCAGCAAGTACAAGAGCAGGCTGCTGTTCTCACTGGAACTCACCATTCGGGTCTTTGTCTTTCTGGTTCATGGAGCTGAGCATTTTATGTGGGGAAAGTAGGCTTTGGGGACAGGATTCAAGGAGTGAAACACTTTTTGTTTTAATTTGATTTTATTTTCTTGTGCACCCCTTTTTGATCCTGAGGTGGGTTTCATTTGGCTCCTATACTTGTGAGCTGTAACCAGCTAGTCTGCTATGACTTCTTCCCTCTCCTCCTCTTCTCCTGTTCTTGAGACAGACTTTCCCCACAGGTTACATAGGCTGGGTGAGAACTTACTCTTGAACTGTCTAAGGAACAAAAGCATTTTCCCAGGAAATCCTCTGCTGTAAGAACTGAATTCCTAATACTTTATTTTGAAATCAATTTCATTAAAATGGTTTATTCACATGAGCTAATTGTTGACTACTGTTCCAATTCAGCATGAAAAGTATGGAATAAGAGTTTAGAGATCAGATAGACATTTCACTAAAAGAAAGAACCCAACTCACTTTTTTTTTTCTTTGAGACAGGTCTCACTGCATAGTTCAGGCTGGCCTTGAACTCATAGGGATCCTCTTGCCTCATCCACCCAAGATTTGGATTATAGGCATATAGCACCACACCTGGATCTTATACTCTTATAAAACAGGAAAAAACCCTTCTGATCTAGTAGTTTTATACATGATATTATTATTTCATACAATAATAGAAATTTAAAGTAGGTTTTCCAATTTCTCCTTTAACCTTGAAGTAAAAAAAAAATTCCACAACTCAGCCTCATAAACAAATTCTAATTTGTTTTCATCACAAAACTAATAGGCTTTCTAAACTTTTCTTTAACTATTGTACAACATGCTTTCTCTGTGTGTGCTAAGTTACTATGGTTACTTTGAGACTGTGACTCGTGACACTTAAATATTATTGTCAGGTAGCCAAACATTTCCATTTTCAATCAGCAGTTCTATTACAGGCATTATTAAAAGAGTGTAGTTGCAAACACTACTTTATATGGTACATTTGTCACACATCTGAGCATGTACATAAGAATCTAATGTGCATAGTGTTTCTGTTTTTGTTGGTCTCATTCAGTGACTGAATTGCTTTCTTGGCTTGTCACTGGGAGGACAAAAAGGGAAACAAGTCATGGTTCTTGCTCTCTATAAAGGTATCACTGAAGAAATCAAAAAACACAGTAGACCAATAATTATATACATCATAAAACATAATAAAGGATGTAAGAGACAGACGTCCAAAACCTGAAGGTGAAATACAGAGACAGTTGTCCTTCCAGTTGGTAGGCTCAAAGAAGCTCAGGAAAAGGCAGAGCTAAGGTGACATTGTAAAGAAAGGCAAGACGTCCATGGATGGTGAAGAGAACACGAGCCTTCTTGGAGGAGGAAATCCCTTTCTAAAAGCATGGACACATACTCTGGAGGCAGTAGGCAACATGGGTGGTGAAAATAGCAATTCTGTGAGGCATACCCATAGAAGATAGGATGAGTTTGAAAGTAGGAGGACCTAGTTTATTAAGGCCCTTCAAAGCAATTCTTTGGTCTGTGCAGAAATTTTCATGCTGTTCTCTAGTTAATAATAGAGAGGTGCTATCAAGTAGAAAACATTAAAATCCTGGGTTCTGTTGATTTCAAGATGATGCAAGAAAAACAATTATATCTCTAAGAATTCAGTGTCTCCTTCCACTGAGAATTTAATTAATGTTGTCCAGAAATCACTGATTACTGTGAACACTTTAAGTGGCTCTAAATTGTTTGAAAAGTAGCTAAATTTGGATGCATGTATAGAAACACAGAAGTTAGTATTCTTTCGGTAGACAGTGGAATAGGAAACACCTTGAGATTTTGAAGTGAAACTTATTCGTTGATAACAGAATGGAAGCTACTAAATCTATGAAGTTTATTAAAATTATTTGCTTATTAATTCAATAAATATTTACTGATCATCTTGTCCCTCCATGAAGTGAAGGTAGAAGTAGCAAAACATGAGAAAAAATATCCTAGATTCAAGAAATTTACCTTGTCAGCTGAGATACAATAAATATAATAAATAAGCATAATAAATATGCAGTATGTTTGAAAATACTAAGTACTGTAAAATAGAGTTAAGAGGTCCAATTTTATGGCACATTCCAATAAGATATAGCCCATCCCATTAAGAAGGTGATTTGGAGGAAGACAAAAAGTGTAAGAATAAGCTAAGTGATAAGATGTGGAGAAAATATTTCTAAGGTTTTAGCATGCCCTAGAAACCCGGCAAAGAAATATCTCTATTTCCTTCCTTCCTTCCTTCCTTCCTTCCTTCCTTCCTTCCTTCCTTCCTTCCTCCCTCCCTCCCTCCCTCCCTCCCTCCCTCCCTTCCTTCCTTCTTTCCTTTCTCCTTCCTATATTTCTTTTTCTTCTGCAGTGCTGGTGATCAAACCCAGGGTTTTATGCATGCCAGGAAAGCACTCTGCCAATGACTAAGAGCTCCAATCCATGGTAAAAGTATTTCAAAGAGGGAATGATGAAACATGTCAAAAGCTCTTAAGTAAGATGAGCACTGGAGACAGTAATGTGGCGTTCTTTGGTGAATTTCCCAAAAGCAGTTCCTGTGCAGTGGTACTACTCAGAGACTGATTGAAATGGCTTTAGAGAGAGAGAGAGAGAGAGAGAGAGAGAGAGAGAGAGAGAGAGAGAGGCTGCTGAGTGGAAGAGAAAAGGAAAAGGGAAAGAGGAAAGCAAAGGAACTGAAAGTCATGAGAGCATAGTTTTGCCATGAAGGTGGTCAGCCTAAGCAGAAGCTAAAAGAGAAAGAGGGTTCAAGCTGCAATAATAATGTTTGTAAGCAAATGATGGAGGGAAAGAGAAAGAGACAGACAGAGACATAGACACAGACAGTGTAGGACATGAGAATTTTTGGAGTCTTGTTTCATAGGAGAAAATGCTTTTCTCTCTTTCCTTTTTCATTCTTTAGTTGAAATAAAAGATTCTGCAGGTTTCCAGAACAGATTGTCCTGTTCGGACTGGTTATTCTCAAGAGAGCCTTTAAAGTCTATTTTATCTTCCTGGAGTAAAGTTTACATTCCATTATTTTTATTTCCTTTTGAAATGTCCAAAATTTGACATTTGGAGGAAACACTTGAAAAAAAATTATCTTACATGTACAGCATAACAATCTATTTGATACGAGGTGTGCATGTACCTGCCTAAAATAAAAGTTTGAAATTCTAAACTCATATTTCTTTTTTAGCACGGAGTCTGAAAATTCAGCGGCAGAGGTAGAACAAAACAATGAAGTATTGGTAAGAAATAATCTTTGCATAATTTCTTTTTTCCACAAGAAAAATCAATAGTAAAACTGTGATTTAATTTAATGAACACTGAGGTTTCCTTGGTATCATTTAGTTTCCACAATTTACTAGTAAGTAAACTTTAAAAAATAAAATGGGGAATGTTCATAGCTAAGCAGAAGACAGGTGGAGTGGGTGGAGCCCCAGGGCAGTGTTGCTGCTGGGCTACTCAGACGTTAGGTGAGGGAAAAGAAGGACTTGACCATCTCAGCCAGTGAGAATGTTGCATTGTTCTCTGCAGCCTCGCCATGCCAGGACTTCCTGGGCTATTCTGTAGCATTTGCTTGTAAATGAGGCAATCTGGGACTCAGGCCTGTTGCAGATCTAGTACCTTAAAGTACTTAGCTTAGACTGGGATTAAATTATGGCCTATTTTGTTTAGCTCAGGTTTAAACTACAGCCTATCTCAGCTTGTTCATTCTCTTTCAAGAGAGCTGGTGGCACACAAGGCTCAGACCTTTGAGTGCTTCCTCTTCTAGGGTTTTTTGATGCCCAGGGAAAGCTAGGTTTGTCTGCCAGAGCCCCAACTGGGCCCCTCCATTGGCAGAGGTAAAACTGAGCGAGGGGTAGTATGGTGTGGAAGCTGCCTGGTGGGTTCATGGAGGCTCACTGCACCAGTTCCCATTCAAGGACGTGCAAGACTTTCCCTTAAAGATAGTACTCCCTCAGCTTCTTGTTTTCAGGGTTAGCATTCCACCTAGATGGACTGTAGACAATTCTTCAGTCCTTAGACTCCCTGCAGAGACATTTCTGGAATAATCTTTTAGCTCTAAGGCAGCAATGGTGTGGTGTAAAAGAAAGTTCAGAGAACTAGTATTCAAGACCAGGCACATTCAGGGTAGTAAACCACAGACAGGACTAGGATGCAGAAAACTTGGAATCAGACCCAGATACACCTCCTGCAAGCTGTGTGATGAGAGAGAAGTCTTTTGAACTCTTTGAGTCTTATTTTCACCTATAAAATATTATTCTACATCAAATAATATATCTAAATGTGAAAATCTTTGATAAAGTACTTAGAAATATATAGGGGGTAGCTGTGGTGGTACATGCCTGTGCTCCCAGCACTTGGGGACTGAGAAGAGAAATCAGTCCCAAGCCCAGCCTGGACTACATGGTGAATTCAAGGTCACGGTTCACTATGAAGTAACACTGTCGGGGTCGGAGAGATGGCTCAATGGGATAAGCACTTCCCTGGCAAGCGCAAGTTACTAAATTCAATCCCCAGTTCCACAAAAAAAAGAGTGAGAGACAGAGATTATCACAAAATAAGTAAGAAATATAGCAGAGTATAGTGCTTTGGAATTGATAGTATTCAAGTAAGGGCCTCTGTTTCTTGCGGTGTTTTGGTAGTTCTGGTCTTCCACTCACACCCCACCATCACTGGCTCAGAATGATCCATTCCTTCATGAGATGCATATCCAGAGTCTCACATCTGCGACATTATTTCTTAAATTTTAAGCTAGCATAATTGGTCCAATCTGGAACCAAGTAAACTGGACGTAGCTCCTAAATCCATACTAATTTTCAGGAGAATTTTGATGGAACAATATGTGAAGAAATCAAATTAGATTTGCAAAGTGATTTCAGTTAAAATTGTCTTCAGTTTCTAGAAGTATTTTACATTTATTCAGCTAGAAAAATCATCATAATTAATTTTTATTTTATTTGTGCTGTTTGTGAGTTTGTTGCTTTAGGAAAGAGTGACCCTCATGCAGACCTCATCAAAACTTTTTCTGTTTGATGGGTACATTTGAGTCTGAGAAATGGGAGATACCTGGGCAGCAGTTTTCTTGTTGTCCTTCTAAAGATGCTAGTGTAGAAGGACCCTCAGTGACAGCATCCAGAACTGGGAAGGACGAGGTGCCCATTGCCACCTCTAGGACTCTTGCCTGCGGCCCCCAATTAGCTCCCTGGAGTTCTGATCTAGCCTTTCTTTTTCTTTTTTAAATTGATAATTTTTTATTTATTTTTATTTTTATTTTTTTGCCATAATTTTATTGATAAACAAATAACAATGAGACAGTTTCAAATCAAATCAGTAGGACAGTTTCAATAATTAACACACTGCATACATTCTTCTTAGTGGTTAATTGCTGTACAAGATGTGGACTTGATATCCTATTTACAAACACCATTAGAACAAATCTCTCTATTCATTAAGAGAATGTAACTATATATCTATCCTAATCACTTTGAATACACAGATTCAAAATGGACATTCATCTGTATCCCCTTTTTTTTGTTAAGTTCCGTTATTTGAATATTATAGGTGTGGAAACTCAGCAAAATATCCCAAAAGAGTCCAGTAGCCCATAATAGTATTGGGTCTTCCGCTTAACTGGCAATGTCAGAAATTGTTCACCTGAGTCCCCCACAGCTCAACATAACAGCATAATTGACAGTTGACACAGTAGGGAGCTCCGAGGCTTGAAGAAACTGACTCCGCTTTAGTTTTTGTCTTTTTACCTTTCTAAAAGCATACATTTAGCTGGAGGATGGTAAAATTAGAGACTCCAAAGCCATATTCACAGTTATTGGAGTCTCTTTTCACCATATAGTCCCGTTCGTGGAATCCCTAGAATATAGAGCTTAGCAAAACAGATTTTGCCATGTACCACAAGGCAGTAAATTGCAATAGTCTCTGTTGACTCTTTTAAATAATTATTTTTTTATTTTTGGTTAAAAAAAAGATCAAGATGGAAGATAAAACTTTTGCAATTGTGTGGCTAGTTCTTGACCACTCAAGCAGATTGCCATACCTTCTACCTTCTGTCACCACTGAATTGAAAACACTGGTTCTTTATTTGCCTTTATACAGTGCTACCTGCTACTTTAGCTTCTGAATTCCTTTGTACATTGTCTTTTCTTAAAGTAAGATCTGAATTTTATTACTTGCTGTGTGCCTACAACAAAATTTCACCATTGAAGTGAATTTTCATTGGTATCATTTGAAATAAAACATGTGGGCTGGGCTGGGGAGATAGCTTGGAGTTCTAAGAACCTGCCTGGCAAGCACAGGGACACAGGTTTCATCTCCATTCCCACATGCCATGCTGGCCCTGGAACCAAAACCAGGCATGGTGGCACACTCCTGTAATCCTAGCAATGGGAAGGCTGAGGAACACAACAAACCCAAGCTGCATAGCAAGACCCTGTACCAAATAAATTAAAAAATGATTAAAAAATAAATATCAATTAGTGGACTTAGCTCCAGGAAAAGTGTTGGGTGATTGAGATTCATGTCCCTCAGATTCTTACAGCCCAAAGGGGAGAGAGGCTTCCAGAATCATTGCTATTACATTGATATGGTCCTCTTTTTACTGTTATCACCAATTTAGAAATTAAGAAACTTAAATTCAGGGAGGCTTATGGATCTTCCACACATTGAGGATTTGAGCACTGTGTATTCACCATAGATAGTAGAAACACAGGCTAAGCCAGCAAGAGCTAATTTAGAGCTGCTTCTCAGGGGCCAGGTGGTCCCCATATATCTTAGCCTATTTTGGACCTATTATTTAAATTTTCTCTCTGATCTGTTTTAATATCTTCTGAAAGAAACAGCTAGTACATATAAATAACCTCATTTAAACCTATTTGGGAAATAAAAATTTTATTAGCAAGGGGTTTGGCAGGAACAAGATCAGGATTGTTTTCTGTGAACCACTCCTGGGAATCCTGGCATGTACAGATGAGAGTGCAGAGGACCCGATGCCATCGGTGACCCGGAGCTGCACATCCCCAAGTAAGGCCATGGGTGTGACGCTGTCCATGCAGATATGTATTAAGGGGCTCATTCCTCCTCAAAGCTAGGCTTGTTATAAGCCTGAGAAGCTGTTTTGTGGGTTATCAATCTGTAAGGTCATTCACTGTACAGGAAATCAGCTTTATGAAAAGACTGTAAAACAGCTAAAAGATTTTAAATTTATAAGTCAGGCAAGGTAAACTATACCTTACATAAATTCTGCTTCTCTTTTAGTATTCGCTATAAGACCGTATCTACAAGTTTCACTGAAAACATTTATATATATTTTAACATAGTAGGCTGTCTTTCAAAAGATTCTTCCTTTGAAAAGCAAAGTTTTAACTCATTAATGAAGGTTATTAATGAGCTGTTGTGCTTTAAATGAACATCTCAAATGGCTTAAAGTAGATATTCCTATTCATTCTTAAAATGAGAGCAAACTAGAACTATTTTCTATGTATAATGAAATATAAAGTTCTAGAAAATATGTGCCTTTTTATTTTACCATTTTAATAAGAAATGGTAAGTCTGGAACTTTCTGTTTTGCCTACTATCTTTCTCCACGTCCCTTACTCCCTTCCTTCTTTCCAGCTCTCCTGGGTCATTTGTAAATTTCACCCCCACAGGTTTTGACATACATATAACACGGTGAAGCTAGCGTCACAATCAAGATGATGAACCTACCATCAGTCCAAGTCATTCTCACGTTCCTTAGAAATCCCTCCCACCTGGCTCTGTCTGCTTACATCCTTAAGCGTTTCCTTGAGCTTCATGCAAGAGGAGCGATCTAGTACACACCCTTTTAGGGGGACCTCTTTCATTCAGCAAAACTCTTTTGAGAGTGAATCATGCTGTCTTTAGTTTCAGGAGTTCATTTTTCAGGTGAGATAGTACTGCATTATATTGGATGTACCAATTTGTTTATCTCTTTGTCTGTTGACTGACATTAAAGCTATTTATGGTTTGGGGCTTTTACAAAGAAGCTACAGACATTCGTGTAAAATCTTTGAAGGGTTGTATGCTTTCTCTTAGCTAGAAGCAGAAGAGCTGGAGCATATGATAAACTATTTTTAGTTTTTTAAAGTTTGCTATAATATTTCTCTTAAGTGATTGTATCGTTTTACATTCCTACCACAGCGTATGAAAGTTTTAGCTCATGCCCATTCTTTCCAATCCTGGTAAAATCAGCCTTTTTGTTTTAGTCTTT